CCTGTAGCGTGCGAGAAGCAGAATCAGCAGAAATTGAGGACGAGGACATGGAGGTCCTGGGTGACGTCGGCAAGGAACCAGCCGACAAAAGCGATGAAGCCCTAAAAAAAAATCCTGGTCCAGCAAGGAGATGAAGAGCGCTTCTTTCTTCTCGGCTCAAGCTTGGCCGAGGAAGAGGAAAAGGAGTTAGAGGCGTTCTTGAGAGCGAACATTGAGGTGTTTGCCTGGATACCATATGAGATGCCTGACATTGACCCCGAGGTCACTTGCCATAAACTGAATGTTGACAGATCAGCCAAACCAATCATTCAACGGGCTAGAAGGCCGACCTTGATGCATGTTGAGGCAGTAGAAGAAGATGTGGATAAATTGTTGGAGGCCAGAGCCATTCGAGAGGTAAACTACCCAACATGGTTATCAAACACAGTTGTTGTGAAGAAGAAGAATGGGAAATGAAGGGTCTATGTGGACTTCACCAGCCTGAATAAGGCTTGTCCCAAAGACAATTTCCCACTCCCCAAGATTGACCAATTGGTGGATGCCACTTCAGGGCACAGAATGATGAGCTTCCTGGACGCTTACCCCTACCATCAGATAGCCATGTACCCCCCCCCCCCTGATGAGGAGAAGATTGCATTTATCACCCCAAAAGGGCTGCATTACTACAAAGTGATGCCTTTTGGGTTGATAAATACAGGAGCAACTTACCAAAGATTGGTGACTAAGATATTCAGACATCTAATAGGCAAAACGGTGGAGGTATATATTAATGATATGGTCGTGAAGACCAAAGAACCTGAGGATCATCTGGCCGACCTGAAAGCAGTCTTTGATATCCTGAGGACATTTCGGCTCCGACTCAATGTGTCAAAGTATGCATTTAGAGTTGGGTCAGGAACGTTCCTGGGATACTTGGTTACCAGAAAGGGCATTGAGACAAGCCCATATCAAATCAAGGCTATCTTGAACTTGAAGAGCTCAACATCAGCAAAACAAGTGCAGATGTTGACTGGAAGGGCCGCAGCCTTGAATAGGTTCATAAGCAGAAGCTTTGACAAATGCAAACCTTGTTTTAGTTTAGTGAAGAAGGCCACAGATTTCTTGCGGACAGAAGAGTGCGAAGTCACCTTGGCTGACTTGAAGAAATACCTGACCACAGCTCCAGTGCTCTCAAATCCAGTACCTGGAGATGATCTATTCTTGTACTTGGCGATTTCGGAGCATGCAGTAAGTGCAGTAATAATCAGAGAAGAGAAGAGAGAACAAAGGGCAGTATACTACGTGAGTAAAACCCTAGCAGATACAGAGACCAGATACTTACCTTTGGAGAAACTAACACTGGCCTTAGTAATGGCTTCCAAGAAGCTGAATCATTATTTTCAAGCCCATAAGATTGTGGTGTTAACTGAGCATCCTTTGAAGTCCCTGTTATAGCAAGGAGATCTGACCGGCAGGATAGCCAGATGGACAGTGGTGTTAGGCCAATACGACCTAGAATTCAAACCCAGAACAGTAATCAAAGGCCAGGTTTTGGCCGACTTCGTGGCCGAGTTCACACCTGGCACTATCCCACATCGGGCTCCGTTGAGCTGCGATTTAGGATGTCCAAGTGAACAAGAAGAAACCCAGCTGAGGACAGCAGAACAGAAGAAAGAAGAGAAACTCAGGCTCTACGATATTTACATCGGCGACTCCTTCCACCTGTTTGTTGATGGAAGTTCAAATCGTCAGGGAGTGGGGACAAGAGTAGTGCTAGTATCGCCAGATAGGTGGATGCTAGAACAATCTATTCGTTTAGGGTTTAAAGCCTCAAACAATGAAGCAGAATATGAAGCATTGATCGCAGGATTGTAGTTGGCAGTAGCAATGGAAGACGACGAGGTGACAGCCTTCTGTGACTCCCAGCTTATCGTCAACCAGACAATAGGCGAATACGTAGCCCGAGATGAAAGAATAATGGCCTATGTAAAGGAGGTTGTTAGACTGGTAGCCTTATTCCAAGATTGCCGACTACAGCAAGTTAGCCAAGATGAAAATTGCCATGCTGATGCCTTGGCTAACCTGGCTAGTGCAATAAAATCAAGAGAGGCAATGACAATAATAGTTGACTATTTGTCAGGCCCAAGTGTAGAACCACTGAACACAGAGTATGAGGCAATGTGTGTGGAGATGAGACCAAGTTGGATGGATACGATAGTAGTGTTCCTTAGAGATGGGAAGTTGCCAGATGATCACAAAGAAGCATACAAGACCAGACTAAAGTCAGTGAGGTTTAGTCTAACAGCAGAAGGACATCTCTACAGAAGGTCTTTTTCTGGTCCCCTTTTGAGATGTGTGCATCCTTCACAAGTTAAAGACTTCCTGTATGAAATACACGAAGGAGTATACAGAAGCCACGCAGGGGGCAGGTCACTTGCTCATAGGGCCATTACTCAAGGGTATTGGTGGCCCTATATACAAAAAGATGTTGAAACTTATGTCAGAAAGTGTGAGAAGTGTCAGAGGTTTGCACCTTTGATACATCAACCAACAGCAGATTTAAACCCAATGTCCAGCCCTTGGCCATTTGCCTAGTGGGGCATGGATCTTGTTGGACAACTGCCTCAAGCGACTAGACAAAGGAAGTTCTTATTGGTAGCAACAAATTACTTCACCAAGTGGGTAGAAGCTGAACCCCTTGCAAATATCCGGGACATTGATGTAAAGAACTTCATATGGAAGAACATCATCACCAAGTTTGGGATCCAAGGGCAATAATAGCAGACAATGACACACAGTTTGACAGTAAGCTAATTAAGAACTTCTGTGCAAAGTACAAGATTAAGAACTACTACTCCACTCCAAGCTTCCCTCAAACCAACGGTCAAGCAGAAGCATCCAACCAAACTATCTTGGATAGGATTAAGAAGAGGCTGGAAGGAGCAAAGGGAAAGTGGGTAGAAGAGCTGCCTAATGTACTTTAGGCATATCGGACTACGCCGAAAAGATCAACTGGAGAATCCCCATTCGCCATGGCTTATGGCACAAAGGCAATAATCCCATTAGAAGTCAGCATCCCAAGGATCATAGCCCACCCAGAGAATAGAGAATGAGACTAATGAGGCATTCATGGCCCGAGATTTGAACCTGTTAGAAAAAAGAAGGAAAAGAGCAGTAATTCGGCTGGGAGCATACCAGCAGCAGCTTGCAAGGGCTTACAATAAGAAGGTCAACCCACGAGAGTTACAAGTTGGGGACCTCATCCTGAGAAAGGTCGTCGGCAACAAGAAGGATCCTAGAGAGGGCAAGATTGGCCCAAATTGGGAGGGACCTTATAGAATCATATCGGTTGCCGGCAATGGGGCATATCGGCTTGAAGACAGTGAAGGCAAAGAGTTGCCAAGACCTTGGAATACTTGCAACTTGAAGTTTTTCTATCATTAAATTTTTCGCTTTTTAAAGTTTTTTGTTATTAGCCGAAGTAATAATAAAATTTTAGCTTGATTTTTTAATTTCAAACTTGTGTAATACGACTGACCAGTCCCTTGGCGATGTTTCTAAGTGAAACATGACGAGTAGCTTAGACTTATTATATGGCAGAGTTGAATTATACTTGCATATAATAAAGTTGAACTAAGTTGGCGATGTTTCTAAGTGAAACATGACGAATAACTAAGACTTATTATATGGAAGAGTTGAATTATACTTGCATATAATAGAGTTGAACTAAGTTGGTGCCCAGCAGATGATCCAACTAGGTATGTTTTGAACCCTAACCCTAGAGGTGTAGCTCTGATACCATGAAGCTTGGGTAACCAGCTTGGGGAATGATAGAATATCACCCCCTATTTATAAATGAAAGATTAGGGTTTACAAGAAAGGCAATTACAAGATGATCCCTGAGTGCTATCCCTGAGTGCATAAAATGATTACAGACAGACCCTAGTGTACCTTTCGGCTAATATAATATGCTAACACTTAATATAATATGCTAACAAATTATACTTGCATATAATAGAGTTGAACTAAGTTGGCGATATTTCTAAGTGAAACATGACGAGTAACTTAGACTTATTATATGGCAAAGTTGAATTATACTTGCATATAATATAGTTGAACTAAGTCGGTGATGTTTCTGATTAAAACATGACGAATAACTTAGACTCATTATATGGCAGAAGTGAAATTATATTTGCATATAATGGAGTTGAACTAAGTCGAGTTAACCTAGACTTGCCATGTCGGCAGAATCAAACTCAGATTGGAACTAAATGCATTTGAGTAATATTAACAGAGGAACCAAGGTTGAGAACCTCGACTAGTCTCTATTCAAATCTAACCTCGGCAACAAGACCATAGCCACATGCTTAATGAGAACCTAAGTGAAACTTAAGTTCACATTAGGGGACAGAGAGAGCTGGAGAATAATGAATGAAGTTTAAAGTGTTTAAGAGTTGGAATTTTATAGAAAAATTTACAAGCTAGAGTTGCCTTAACACTTGTTGAAGTTTTCAGGAAAATTTACAAGTTGAACTTAAGCCAAGGTAATATTACAGGAAGTACATACATACTTGCCAAGATGACCAGGGTTGTCCACCTCGGGGAATATAGAAGACAGAAGTCTTGATAAGAAAGAGTAAAGTGGCAAGTTTTAAACCAACACTTGTGAAAATACTTTTACAATGTTTTCAAGTGTTGTTTTCAAGCGTTAAACCAAGGCTGAGGTAAACAATCAAGAAGTTATGTCCAAGGTATTATACTATGAAGAGGTTATACAGATAAAGGTACACTTTGAAGACACGCAAAAATATTCTAAATATGGAAGCAGTAAATCATACAAACACTTAAAAGAAGAAATTATACTTGCATTCAAAGAAAAAAGGCACTTCGGCCTGCAGAAGGATTACTTGTTCTGATACAAAAAGGGCACATCAACCAAATACAAAGCTAACATTGTTCAGAACAAAGTATTACAGCTAAGAAGGAAACAGAAAAAGAATACAAGGAAAAGTAGAAATATTCTAAGTGTTAGGGTTGGCTTCATCGGCTGGTGGTGTTACACTCTTGTTAGCCTCTACCTCGGCATCAATCTCACGCAGTGTGTCATCAAGGCTCTTATTGGCAGTCTCGACCTCGGCCTCAGAAATGGTCTTTTGGACCTCGTCCTCCTCATCCTGAGTCAAGACCAGGACTTGCTCATTCAAAGTTGGAGACTTGCCCCAGCAGAACCCGCAGCATTGGTTGCCACCTCAGCCTCTTCGTCATCCTCTTCTTCTTCGTCTTCTTCCTCCCCAGCCTTAGCCTCAGATTGGCTTGAAGCAGGAGGGAATAGCACTACAAGTCAGACTTTATCATAAAGAGGGGAATCCTCGGGGACAGCCAACTCCTTCAGAGCAGCCATCCAACCAAGGGTGTAATCCTTGTTGCATGCCTGTCTGACTTGTTTCTTGTACTCCTCGCGGACGTCGGCTGCCCCCTCTGCATAGGCCTTCTCGTCCGCCACTTTGATTTCGGCGTCTTTTGTGGCCAAGGCACTTCAGAGCTCTGCTTGGGCTTCGGCAGTTTTTGCTTCGGCCTCTTTTATTTCAACTTTGAGGACCTCAACAACAGCCTTTGCAGCACCGGCCTTTTCTTCGGCTTGATCTTGGGCTTGTTTAGCTACCTTGGCTTGATCTATCAGGACTTTCATTTTGGCCTCCGCGTTGTTTAACGACTTAAGCAAGCCAGTAGCCTCCTTGGTCTTGTGGACCAGCTCCTTCTTCAACTCTTTTGCCTACATCACAAAGGAGTGGGCGTGCCGCCTAGAAGAAATGAAAAGAACAAATTTAGTAAACTTTTTTAGTATGAAAACAGAGAATGGAGAGTACCAAGTGTTAGGAGTTTACCAATACAGAGTGCTGCACCATCAGAGTGAAATTTTCATATTCACTGACCTCGGCCATACGGTTGAGGTCATTGGGAAGGAGCAATGCAGTAGAGAGCGCAACGCCGACCTCAATGTCAGCAGAGCTATCACCGGTTTTGACTGGCTTGTCCTAGATTATGATAGATGGGGCCCAAGGGTCATCAGCTTTAAGTGAACCCGAGGTGGCTGCGGAGTCTAACCTCAACTTCTTTGACTTAGCAGTTTCAGAGGGGTCATCCTCAGCAGGTCTCTTTTCGGCAACAGAGCTAGTTTTCTCAATCTCGGCAAGCTTTGAGATTGGAACTGTATCTTCAAATTCAACTTGGGTGAAAGAGGCTTTTTCCTTGGCCCTCTTTACCCTTTTTTGCTTTGGTTTGGGTTGGGATTGTGATGGTGAAGATTGGACTATGACAACACCAGGGATGTCGGCAAGAAGGTCTTCAACGACAGCCTTGTTGCATCCTATCTCGTTGGCAGTGGTGGCGATTGTGACTCTAGTACCAAAATGAATTGCCAGAAGTGCAGTTGGTGGGTTGGCTGGATCGGAAGCCGACGCCTCAACACTTTGGCGTTTTCGGCTACAAGTTCTACAAGCAAGAGTGTTGGCGGAAACTCAGCGACGGCGTCGACGCTGTGCTAGAGGAATTAGTTGGGGAATTAATGTTGATAGCTGCTCTGCTGGGTCAAATGTTGAGACTTGGTCAGGCCGTGGTGACAAAGTGGTAGGAGGAGTTGTTACTGAGGGTGGAGACTTGCTCTTCTTAGGGACGTCGGGCAATGTGGATTTATAGGTCAAGATGTAGTTGAGCAGCAAAGGGGCCTTGCGCTGATTGACAGGCAAGCCCAGCAGCTTCTTGAAGTCTTTGCTGGGATAGCAGGTTTTGTGGAAGTCCTTTGGAGGTTGAGGAAGAGCTACAAGTAAAAAATAGACATTAGAACATATAAAAGGAACAAAGTAATAAAAACTTGAAAACAAGTAAAGTGACACTTGGCTCTTACCATTACCCTCTTTAAAGACTGTTTGGCTCAAAGGGCAGAGGTGGAGGCCATCATCAGGTGGGAACTCCCAGTTGCCCGAGACGATGAAATAATCATCTCCAGCACCTTTGTTGGAGTCTGGGAGGTCGGCTATGAGTTTATACTCAGTGGATCTCGGCTTGAGGTAATAGATGTAGCCTTTTTCGGATTTCAGGCCACACATGGTATAACATTACTGGATGTCGGCTGGTGTTATCCTAGCATTCTCTCGGGTAGCTAGGGTAATTATACCGTTAATGACTCTGTAAGAGTTGATGGCCAGCTGCATTGGGTTAAGTTTGTAATAATGAAGGACTTTGCGGAAAAGGATGTTGAGAGGGAACCTAAATCCACACTCTATGAAGGCCACTACGGGGAAAGGCATAGAGTCCCCATCAGGCATGATGGAGTCCTCCTCCCCTATCAGCCTAAGGTGAACATCAGTTAGGATGGAGAACTCTGTCCTAAAGTACTCTAGTTTGGCCAGGATGTCTACCCTTCACCTGAACATACCCATGACGTCGGCTAGAGAGAGAAGGTGCGGGATTTCAGAAGAAAGTAGTTTGTGTGGTTTTAAAGGACCTTGGTTGAATCCTAGAGAACACTAGTGTAAAGGCTTCTGAGAATCTAAAGGAGTTTTTGGTTAGGTTTTCCTAAGGAACAAAGTTCTAAGATCAAAACCCAAACCTAAATCTACGTAGTCAAAGGCAAGAATCTGGAAATAAAGCAAGAAAAATAGAAAAGAACAATGATTCAGACTTTATCTTTTGTGGTTATGATCTCAAGACTGAGATGTCAATTCATTTTAGTTTGTCAAGTTGGCTTGTTGAATTTCCATGTTTAGTTTAGTCCATTTGTGTTAGCATAGAACAAGTCAAAGTTTGGAATTGGTTGTGCAAGTAAAAGGTTGTGAATTTCTTTAGGAATTGCATACATAGGGACACTTTAGTGTTTCCCCGTATACTCTTATTCAGGCACAAGAGTGATGTATTTTTATGTAATCTGCTGGTATATCACTTTTGTTTTTCATTTGTCTTCAATAATTACTTCAAAGGAAATGTGAGATTGTAGCACACCCCAAATCCAGACATGACCGGCCGTGGCCCACAGAGACTTAACCCAAGGCACATGTAAGCCTAAACATAAATCCAAAATCACAAAGAATAAATGTGACAATAGCTCAGAAATAAATAAATCAAAACCCAATCCAATGATATGTCACAAGTATAAATGGTAAAACCAACTATAACCAACTTTCAAAAATATATACTAAATGGAACACAAACCGCCCACAAAATAAAATAATTCTAAATAAAATCCAACCACAATGTATACACAAAATCGACATAACAAGTTAAAACAAAATAAAGAATGTCCTAGAGATCCATGCAATTGAATCCCTGCTACACTATGAGTCCACTCTAAGTCCTTCTAATACCTCGAAATGATAAACAATTAAGTTTATAATTCTCTAGCAAGTATGTTGCAAGTTCAAGCCCAGCTTGATTCCTAGAAAACCCAACTAAGTTTATGTCTCAAGGCATTGATGATGCAAACCGTGGTGGTGTTTTGATTCCAGAGGGAAGTTGGGGTCAATTGTGGAGTTTAAATCCTGCTGTAGAATAGAGGCAAATGATTCATATCTGTAATATCTGGGTTTCTTTGTGAAACTCTTTTATACATTTCATTATCAACAATGCTCATTGCATAGCTGACTATCTGCCAACAATTGTCAATCAAGCTAATTAACAACAATAAATTGAAAAAAAGATAAAATTAACCTAAATAAGTAACTAAGGCATTATGCTAAGAGCTTGGACACAACGATATGAAAATTTTATATTGTTTCTCTTTTATTATTGATTTCAAATTACTTTTTCAAATTTGTAATGCGTGTGTTTCCAAAGTGTCTTTAAAGCATATCTAATGTGTAGAAATTTTTTAAAAACACTACAACAAAACTGAGTTTTTCCCACATCAACAACATACAATAAATGCAAGTCGTAATAAAATTTTTGATGATATGCGTAGAGCATGCTGTTAATACATCAAATATACACGGCACACAACTACTAACCGTTGAAAATATTTCACTTTATACGACACACAATTGCTGTCGTGAAGGGTATGTCCTAAAAAAAAGTAGGCGGGAAAATAAAAACTCTAGTGCCAAACACAAGCAAAAATATTAAGTTAAAAACAATCAAATATATCAAAAGAGCCCCAACTCTTTGTCTCCACACTCTACGTTTCTGATTACTAAATCACCCCTCTTCTGTTCTCTTCTCTTCTGTTCTCTTGGGGTTTGGATCCTATGACCTTTATCTTCACTGACGAGAGTATTTTTGTTTAGGGTTTACAACATCTGTTCTCTCAACTCTCTCAACTGCTCTGTCAATGTCAATCGACGATCTCAAGTTTCGTCTCTGAACAACACTTGCTTCTATTGTTGGTGTCATCTGCAACAAACAAAATACCTGGTATGTTCTTCTTCTTTGTCTAATTCTATGTTCAATGCTGTATTTTGTTTGGTTTTTTGCCATAGATTCATGCTCTTGTTTTATTCATGGTGCGTTCCTTTCAAAATCTGCCTACTATGTGTTTAACAATATGTCTACACAAGATATTCACATGTCTCTGCCTCCATAAATTGTCCACCAAGTGCTTGTGAATATGTCTAAACCAAAAATTCAATTGTGTTACCATATCTCTTCTCTCAGCATAGATACAAATACAAAACCATAAAAAAGAAATAAATAAATTCAGTCCTTGGGTATTTTATAGTAGGTAAAACCATACTGTCATGTTAAAAAAAAAAAAAAAAAATTGCTTTTGTTATGATGTTCATACACTTGCAAGATGTTCAAGTATCTTCAGAACAACAAAAAAAAAACACAAAAATAAAGGCTTCAATTTATTTTATTCAAAGTTTAAGTAGAAAGTTACTATTGTGATTGGGCCTTCGATTCCACCGGGAATTTGAAATAGATTCTTAGACATTCAAACGCTTCCATTAATATTATTGACTTATGATCCACTTGACAAGAAATAAACCAAACAAAGAAACAATATCCAAAATATGATGAATTTTCTAACACTTTTGAACCAGAATTTCAATTGTTTGGCCATGTCTCATTCCATAAGTGTAGATACAAATACAAAAAGATTAAAAAAACATAATAAATCAGTGACCTTTGTTTGGCTGGCCATGTCTCATTCCATGAGCATAGATACAAATACAAAAATATTAAAAAAACATAATAAATCAGTGACCATTGTTTGGCCATATGTTTGGTTCCACTTTTTTGAGTTAATTTCAGAATTTGTTTTTGACAAGTGTTTTTGGACAAGTGACCATTGTTTGATTGTTGGAGTTAAATTCAATTGCCGATTCAAATGTTAATTAAGAATGTTTTTTTTTTTGTTTTTTTGTTTTTTTTTTCTCTTGTTAAGAAAATAAAATAAGTTAGAATTCAAGTTGATAAAAATTGTGGGTTTAATTATTTAAAATGAATGCGTGGTTGTTTAGCTTGAAACAATAGTGTGGGAGTTTTCATCGTCTTTTACATTTAGGAATGCACATAGCAATGAGTGGATAGACTGCAATAGAATGAATTGACAATAGCCATTTTTCTCCACCTTCTTAAAGGCAAAAAGCAATTTCTTGAGTAGCATTCAATCATTATCATGTGGTCTTTTTGAGTTATCCATTTGAATGGGATCTCAGTCATTTCCAAAATTGAGATTATATAGCCAATGTATCAATCATTCATAGTTTAGTCTTGATTTTCATAGCTTTTGAGTTGTCTTCCAAAGGAATAGCCATGTAGTTGCAATTTTCATGCCGCAATTCATTATGTCCAAAATTTTGGGACCTTTTGGGATGCTACCTTCCAGCTTGATGAAGGGATTTTGAATTGTATCTTCGCTAGTAGTGATTGAAGATGCAAAGCTATGAAGAGAGGCTACCTATGGATAAAGTGGAGCAAGTATGGCAATATGAACCGTTTATTTCCTTTTGCTCATTGAGATGTGAAGTAATTCAATTTAGAAAAATTGACTAGAGTAGGTTTGTAGCATCATTGGTGGTGTAGAATCACTCTTGAACCCACTCTTAAAGTAAGTCATGTTGGACCTCTCACCATGTATATTTGTTAATTCTGTAACTTTTAGTAATTCTTCTAGTTGAATCCTTAGATTTTATCTCATCTGATGTACCAGACATTGCCATAATTGGTTATGCTAGCTATGATTCATCTCTTTTGCATCTTAGAATTATTTTGATACATAATGACTATGGAAAATTGACTGTGTGATTGGCAATTTTTTAGGATGCTACTCACTGGATACTGGTAGCATCAATTTTTTAATTTTATTTCATTCTTTATGAATTGGATATCAAATATTTAGTAGCTCAAGGCACCATAATTATATTGTAAGCATCTTATTCTTAGCTAACAACAGCGCGACCCCCACGTGCATGGCATGTCTAGTTCTAACTAGTATATGGTGGTGTTTGGGAACCAAGTTCCCAGATTATTTTCTCATTTTTTCCACTAAAAGACAAAGGTTTTGCAAAACCAAAAAAAACAAATACAAACAAAATATCACATCCAACCCTATAATTATTTCACTTTTTCTCTTACAAACATCACACCCAACCACAAAAAAACCCAACTATCTTCCCAAACACTAAAAATTTTTTATCCAATAATATCCTACAACTAAAAAAACTTACATAAAAACCCACTTCCCAAGCACCCACTATATATATCAACATCGCCAAGATTATCATACTCTATTAGTGATTTAGTATTTAATCATTGTATAGCCTCTTAACTTTTAGAAAGCACTAATCACTCTATTTGTTTTCATTTTTTAGAATTCATTTTTCTGAAAATTCTACTTATTTTCCGTATTTTTTTGTTTTTACAAAATATTTTTAATATTTTAAGCAATTTTTTAAAAAATTTTTAGACACACCTAACATAAATACACTTAAAAAGTATAATTTTTGTGAAAAAAACTTTAAAAAATTCACTAAATACCAAAAATACAAAAAAATATGAAAATTCAGTATATTTTTCATATTTTTGTGTATTTATTAATTTTTTAAAATATGTTTTCACAAATATTTTACTTTTTAGATACATCTAAGTAAGGTGCATCTACAAAAAGTTAAAAACTTAAAATTTTAAAAATATTCATTAAAAACAAAGAACATGAAAAACAAAAAACTCAATTTTCAGAAAGCTGAAACCAAACAAATTGAATAGTATCTCAAATGTTTAAAGATGTGAAAAGGCTATCGTGGGCTTTATGAAACATTTGGGAACTATGGTTAGCTCACAGCAAAGAGTTTGAATGCAGAACCTTTAGGTATGCTCATTTTTCCTAACCTTT